TACCAAGTTTAAAAATTAGTTGCTCTAAAATTTTCACCGCAACGAACTGTTGAAATTTGCTTTGCAGGTATATTGACATAGTTACTTCTGCAACGGTTTTGGCACTGCGGCGAGTACAGCCCCTTCGCCCTTGCGTAGCAAATCACAAGCACCCATGCTCATCTCCGCAGCTTCGCCTTAATGGTCGCCTTCGGTGACCAGCCTCAGCCTCTACGGCTCGCACGGATGCCTGCGTTTTGCCACAGCGGCCGGGAGCTGCTCTTCCTCCGCGCCTACGGCTTTACAAAAACACTCTAGGGGTAGGGCAGATACGACTACGTGGAGTCGGGGCGTTCTAATTTTGGTTTTAGTACAGATTCGACCTAACTTATCTATAATATATAACTGATAAAGCACAAAAATGCCATTCATACCTTATAGTAAGGTAATGGTGGTCCTGGACCCGATAATTCCCAGAATATTACCGTCATCTACATCCGAACCCAATAACCTTTCAACACTTAATTAGCACTTAATTCCTAGCTATTAATATTTATCGTATATCTATTATCGTCACTGCGTTGCTAGCGATACGTTTTGCCAGCAACGCAAATTTCAACAGTTCGTTGCGGTGAAAATTTTAAAGCACCTAATTTTTAAACTTGGCACCTAATTAGCACTTTATTTTTAGGCATCTATAAAGAACATAAAATGCCGTTCATATCTTATGGTAAGGAAAAAGTGGTCGTGGACCCCATAATTCCCAGAATAATATCTTAATCTGTATCGGGTTTCGATAATCGCTCAGCACTTAATTCCTTGCTATTAATATCTATTGTATATCTAATAACGTCATTGTATTGCTAGCGATACGTTTTGCCAGCAACGCAAATTTCAATCGTTAGTTGCGGTGAAAATTTTAGAGCAACTAATTTTTAAACTTGGTACTTAACTAGCACCTAAAAAGCTCCTAATTTCGGCTTTTACTAAAAGCATTTTTGATTCTATTCTGATTTTCAGAAAACCTGAATTTTGCATCTGCTTTGTTCTGAATCAGAACTTTATTTTTATTAGGGGCGCCTTGTCACTTGTCACCTATACTTGCAGCATCTAATTAGCACTTAATTTCTTCCTATCAATATTTATCGTATATCTAATAACTTCATTGCGTTGCTAGCGATACGTTTTGCTAGCAACGCAAATTTCAACAGTTCGTTGCGGTGAAAATTTTATAGCACCTAATTTTAAACTTGGCACCTAATTAGCACCTAAAAAGCCCCTAATTTTGGATTTCTCCAAATTCAAATTCCAGACTTTGCGTTGCTGGCGAGACACAACTGCATCTACTTACATTATTTCTCGATTAAAAATAGTTGCGTTATCACCCCTGGGGGCAAAGAAAGAATGCCTTGTTTCCAGTAAAAAGGGTATCCGGTTCTCTACCATATGAAACGTAGCAATATTATGCTGCTATTTTACGTTGGTATTCTATGGGAGTGAGGTTCTTTCCTTGTCGAACCGGCCCATTTCTTTCCATTCAAATTTTGATACGAGTTTTATTTCCCTAAGAAAAGGATTCTTAAACGGATTGTTACTTGTGATGAAAGTTCATGATATAATATATCACTTATTATGGAAAGTACTCGTATAGCTACTAGCTCGCTTTTGTTCTCCTCATAATAATATTAATAATATTCACTTACTTGAAATGAGCGCATTTGCCTTCAATACATAGAAGCTTTTAAATGTACAGGCCACTTATCAAACTCTGCACGAATTTCTTATTTGGGTCCTTCGATCGACAATACCAATTTTGGGTCACTTTGATTCCTTGACAAGTGTTCGCTTGAGTGACAGTTGGGTGTGACTTCCCCACCAAACGTGCACACCTTATCTTTTATAAAGTAGTAAGGATTCGCGAACACACTTTCGATTAGGGATTAAAATGCAAATACGTTTTATTCTCAGTAGCTCCCTCCTATTTAATTCCAGCCGCAACGGCAACGTACATAACTTTAAGTAGGTAATGTTTGTTACTAGCGGTCGATGCCAACATGGCAAATAGTTTTATTAAGCAAAGACAATTGTGAGAAAAACGGATTTACTTAAACACAATACCGGTTCGTCACTTTTTTCTTAGGTCGTTCATGTATAAGTATGACTTCAAGTCAGGACCCTAAAACACATATAAAAAGAGGACATTTCAAACTGCCTCTAGAAATAATCAAGTCCATCCAAGGGTACCTTGATTATTAATTAATTTAATGTTATAAAATATAGCAGGTACTGAGTCATAAGTAGCATAATATTATGTGTAATATGAGTTGAGGTGTAAGGTGCATATCTGATTCTCTCCGCGACAGCTGCAAGCAGAGCGTATCGAACTTAGCGTGTAGTTCATTGTGAACGTCGTAATGCTTGTCTCCGAGTGAGCATTTTCTATACCTACTTATTTTTTTAAATTCAATTATGTAGGTTTATATTGAGGTACATAAGCGGATTAAATTAAATTAAGCTTGTATAAAAATATTTCTGGTACTCCAGAAATATTTCAATCTTCAAATGAGTCTGTTGTGGTAGGTACCACGCCTTTATTTCATTCTATAGGTTTTTTTTTAGTTTAGGGTGACAAAGTGTCTGTAGCCTTATTGTGCAATGATTGATATACAATTTACGGTCACTCTTATCATTAAAAATTGGAACGACGCACAAAGCCTTCCTTTAGGAGTATTTAATACAATCTGTAGAATTCGTCGTGGTGGTAAAACATGAACCATCATTTCAAAAAAAAAACAGATAAAATATACATCAATTAAGAAGTATTATTATTTGTTTGTTTCAAAATTTTACAATTACAAAATTTTAATAATGTAGAATTACAATTGCACGGCAAATTTTCAAAAAAAATTTCGACAGGATGTTTTAACCCTGGTATATAAAATACTGAGTACTTTTGGACTTAAGAGTCTAGTATATACTACTATATATATAGCAATCGAAGGAAAAGGGGAGATCTCCAAAGGCAAGATGTTCACCAGTCCGGGAACCGGCAACGCTTGTTTACTAGTGCGGAGCTGTTCTATATACCGGAGTAATTTGGAAACTTCGACAACGTGATTTATGTTTCAAACATAGGTTTATTTTGTTTTTAACCGGTAAAATGTATCTTTAAATATGGATAAAAACAACCAGACACTTTTATTTAAAAGAGGAACCAAGTAGCAGCCTAGGGTTTTGCTACATTGCAGTGCTGTTTAGTGTATGTTGGAGATGTTCACATAATATGATGGAAATATTTCTTAATATCTTAGATATAAAAGATATACATATTAAAAGGAAATGTTAGATAAGAGAACTAACACCCTAACGGTTCCGTATAATCTTAATTACATATGTAGATTGTTCACCCATCTCGGGAATTATAGGTAACATAATAAGCACCGGATATTCGGATTAAAGTATTAAACATTATAGTGGAAAAAATGTTCACCCCTTATTCGTTCTATATTACGGTCGATGCTTTAAGTGCAGAAGATAATTTGTAATCGCTAAAAAAATATTTTTTACGTAATATAAGTAAAAATTAACAATTTTCAGATATTTTCCTGTACTTGTTTTTTTTTCATTTAGGACAAAGGTGACAAGCGAGCACACAGTCCACCTGATGGTAAGTGGTTGCTGCGGGCAATAGACATCTACATCTATCCTCTATTACTAATCAAAATGCAAATGCGTTGTCACCCGTGAGGACTAAGATGGAATGCCTCATTTCCAGTAAAAAGGGTTTCCGGTTCTCTACACTCACCAAACGAAACAAAGCAGCGTTAAGTTGCTGTTTTACGCTGGTATTCTGTGAGAGCGTGGTCCTTCCCCGGTCGAGCCGACCCATTCGTGCTACAACTATACTACTAATATAGCTGCACCACGTATGAGAGACTGTGCTTCTTGCCAAATTTCATGTTGGAAGGAAAGTACTCTATGGGTTTTTATGCGTCAGTTTTCGAGTATCGAAATAAGTGTTATTAAAGATCACGTCCATTGAATTCGTTGATTTAGAAGTTTGAATTTTTGTGTGTTTATTAATTTCAACTTGATACATCTACCCGTCCCTGAGAAAGTTTGATTTATGTTTGTTAACGCTTGTAGCAAGACGACAGCGCCATCATATTACTCCCCTGCTCATACCGAAGGTTAATAATGTAGTCCAGTATTCCACTGAGATGCAAGTGCCAGGAGTTCCTTTGTAGTCTACATAGAGTTGAGAAGTAGGCAAGTACGAGAGTGCCGTGATGCAGAGGCAAGCAGTAAGGCTCAGAGTCGCGCTGAACACTATAGCACAGAGAGTGCCTTGAAAGAACAGAAAGAGTTGTTCCAATGCATGAACCTTGTAAAGCCAGGCTGGCTTGGAGGAGTCGAAGATTGCGGACGATGTTTGCTCGGGAGCGAATAAAAAGGGGTTCTTGCGATGATGACAAACGCTTGAAGTTCATGTTACCGAAGGTTGCAGGTTCACTTCACGTGGAATGAAAAATGGAGATCTTCCACCGGGGAAGGTAAGCTGTTCGGCCCCAGGAGCTGTTCTGGATAAGTTAAGAAAGATCGATTGCGTAATATATGCTTCGGTTCATTTAATCTTGTGGCGCACAAGCCGCACACATGCTGTACCGCTACAAGTACCTTTATAATCACAAGACCTTATACTAGAGTATAGTATAGTACTTCAGATGAAGATTATATACTCTTTGATGTAATATACTTCACAAATACAAGCCACGTAAAAATTAAAATCTATTAAAAATTAAAAAGGCAGTAAATATTATGTACTCTCTGTCATATACTGTTTACGTGTCATAAACCTATAAACACAATTTAAAAAGTTATTCATAAAGTAATAGGTAGGTAATTAGCAAACGTGTGCTTGTAAATACTCTTTTTTTAAGCAATTTAATCCATTTATTGATCTAATTTAGGTATTTGCACGAGGATAGGTGACTACACAAAAACTTGAATACTATCAAAATATGCCACAAGAAAAGGGAGAGGGGCCCGAAGATGTTGATACCATTGGGGTAACAGATGGTTTCCATTTTTATATTGTTATATAAATCTATTTACAATAAACCTTAATAAACTTTAATTAAATTAAACTTTTCTAAATAAATAAAATAAAAATAAAATTAATGTTTGTCAATCAAAAAGTTTAAACATTTCATTACACAAAAACTGTATAAAAACGGTTATCAACATAGATTTATTTCAAACTATAATATTAAGGAGTACATAATATGTAAGAAAATAACCCCTGGGAATGAGGTGATAGCTACCATACTGGTTCTATTACAATTTATAAAAAAATTGTATAAAATTATTGTAAAGTTTTAGGTTAAAAATAACCCCGCTAGGTTTTTTACAGGTTCTTTCCAGAATAAAAGTATTTCCGAACCAGTGGTAAATAAAAAAAAGCACTTTCAATTAGTATTATGTAATAGTCTAGGTTATTTGAATAAAAAAAAATATTCTGTTCTTATATATAATATTTATGACGGGTTTCACAATGGAGATTTTTTAAAATCATAGCATACAATAAGTATAAATAAATACCTTCAAATGATAATGATAACAATTAAAAAAAAATACTGTAGAGCCTGCAAAAACGAATATCTAATATACTAAAACGACAAATAGCAACGAATTTTCATAAAGGCGTATTAGTTTGCGCGGATTTTTTTTTTTATTTTATAGTTTCTAAATCTAATTATTGCAATAGTCTAAATCAAAAATATTCACACACACATACTTTAGAATTTGCCTATTACTATGAAATGTTACAGTATATTAGTTAAAATAGCGATCCACCCCAGCTTTGCACGGGTGATTTCTGGATCTCGACAACAGCGCCATCTACCGGATGAAATAAATCACAATAGATCTTTTAGGTCGCAGTGATACTGGTCTCTAGACCTACATAGCTGCTCGTACATAATAAACAGAACCAAACAGGGACCCATTCAAACGAACATAATTAGGGTTCCGTACCTCAAAAAAAATAACGGAACCCTTATAGGATCACTTTGTTGTCCGTCTGTCTGTCTGTCTGTCTGTCTGTCTGTCTGTCTGTCTGTCTGTCTGTCTGTCTGCCTGTCTGTCTGTCAAGACCCTTTTTCTCAGGAACGCGTGGAGGTATCAAGCTGAAATTATATAAAATACCGTTTATGCCGCAAATTTTCGACATTCGCAAGGGAATCAAAACCTACAGGGTACTTCCCGTAAACTCAGAATCTTAAAATTTGGTACGAAGCAACGTATTATAGCACAGATAAAGGAAAAATTGCGAAACGCATAAATTTTTGGTTACATCATATAATAAAAATATTTTTAATAATTTTAAACTTATATACTTACCTACGGATTTGTTCGGAACCCTCGTTGCGCGAGTCCGACTCGCACTTGGGTTTTTTTTATCGTAATCATTGAAGCCGTTTTCCAGTTTTAACGAGTTTAACGGACAGCAATTGATTTTTATTATTTGCTAGCTGGTAGTAGGCGCGTTGCTGAATAGAAGACATAATTGTGGAAATATCTTTTTTAAATTTGAGAGTTATATTGTTTATTAGGAATGATAATACATTCATTGAGGTTGAATGATATATTACTTTCAAATAAATTTGTACGATACGCGCGCCATCTACTGTAAGTTAATTGTACTATGCCTATATCCTTCGCGCAAGTGCAAGCAATAAGTTGACAGTTTTAGCGCAATCTGATGGACGGTATGGCAGCGCATAAAATCCGAACAAACAATCATTAATTTTTATATATTAGAAGAAGATATAGAGATTATATTAGCGATAAATAATCGTTGTACAGTTACAAGCTATATAAACGTATCACTGACGGGCAAATCAAGCCTCATCTGAGGGTTGTAGAGCAGTTAATCCGCCACTTTTTACCAGAAAATGTTGGCGGATTTAACATTATCTTGAAGTATACAAGAAGATGTTTGTTTACGATGTTTACAACGATATGGTAAATCAGCAGTAGTAGTGCTCGCAGGGATCGATACTGGTTTACTAACTGTGAGATTTACGTCGAACGCTTACACAAGCCACCACGGCTCATCGGTCGTTCTTATGACTAATATTTTCTTTGACAACACAAATAAATTCAAGTCAAAGTTGAAAGGTTTTAGTATCTCGTAGCTTTAGCCTTTGACGCTGCTTTCTGCCACAGGTTTTTTTTAAACGTGACCTCCACACTAGAATTTTCTCAAGAGTATCGTGGGGGCAGGTATATTCTTGATGGTTATCCGCCATCAGTCTAGGAGATTGAGCTGATGGTGCCCATTGACGATACGTCCATCAATCCAAATGGAGTGCACGTCTTCCAAAATCGTTTCGTGAATGTGAAAAACATATTCCATTTGAATAGACGTTGTCCAGTTTTGGATTTCCAAACAAATCGAAATCCATGCATTCAAGCCAAATGGACGTCTTTCGCGACCGACTGTCAATGTCAAAAAAGTACGCCACGCCATTTGGAAGCCATCCGAATTGTGTGTGAACCATTTTTTTGTGATTTTTGTCTTAGATGGGCAATGAAAAACAATATCGATATATAGCGAATCGATATTTTTAAACACTATCGATATATTTCTTGTGATAAATATCGATATATCGTCATCATTTGCATGATGTAAAGAAAAGGTCCAAAATTTTATATTACTGCCGGGTGGACGACGAAAAAACAAACGACAACCAACCACACATGAATACTTTTGTACCTCATTTTGTGGTTACATGTTTTGTCAATAATACAACATTTTAAAGTATATCGAAATTGATACGAATTCGATACTCTAAAATAAATATCGATATATCGAAATATCGTGATTTGAAATATCGATATTTCTGTTGTTTTTGTCCAAGCCTACTTAGTTGGTGCTCTGGTATTGACGGCGGTACATGTGCTGGATCATAGGAGCTCTGTGGCACAGTCTATAAAATGCTTAAAGAAAATTCTCCGGATTGAATTATATGTTATTATGTCTACGTCTGCACATTACTTTTTATTAGAAGTAATTGAAAAATATAAATCACATCCATGTTTATAGCAAATGGAACATCCTGATTATCACGACATGGAAAAGAGAAATGCAATGCATGCTTTGTTGGCGTAGTTTGTTTTAAACTTTCCAACCACCCTTTCCCTTACTTTTTTTTTCTTTTTTTTATCGAAATACACACTGCTGTTGCCACCATTAAAAAACACATTGTATTATTTGTTCCGTACGTGTAATTGAACAGCATACAACGTTCTAAGTGACGGCGCGTGCGTCCAAATGGAAGTATAGTCAATGTGCCTCTAATCTGGAGTACTTCCATTAGGAAGTATTCCATTTAGAAGCATTCCAAACAGATGTATCGTCAATGGGTACCTTTACAAACTCATGGCATAAAATTGAATAATGTCTACGCTAACACATACAACATGACTTATTTATATCATATAATTGTTGCTACCCAGATTTATGTGGGAGGAAGAAATGTTGAAGGCGAAAGACATGGTGAGGGTTGGGCAGTGCTTCCTAATGGTGACTTTTACCAAGGGTGCTATTGTCGTGGATTGAGAAATGGAAAGGGGCTGTACGTGTTTAAAAATGGAGCTCGATACGAAGGTATTGTAAATACAATATTATTTTTTGTTTATTAAATATACTTCAAGTCTAAGTGTTCTCCAAAATTAGAAATTGTAGTATTTTATGATTAAGATTAACATTTTATTTACACATACAGCATCTGGCAAGTCTTGTTCGTTTAAACTTATGCACTTGAATACAATAAAACAGAACAAACCTTATTCAATGTATATTAATATAAAAATACTTTTATATTTTCATTTAATGTTCGTTTTCCATTGGTTCTGAAAAGACTTTCGTCCTGGGAAAAATCAGCAAGAAAAACAGCGCGATTTTTTAAATTATTGATTTAGTCTAAGAGTAATCGGCGGAGAAATAACAATTCCTTGCAATTGAAAAAAAAAATCGCTTTAACTATACGGCACCGAGTTGCTCCATGGCAACATGCATTTATATCATCAGTAGGACTATTTGAAGAGAATCGCATAAAAAAATTGAGGTGGAATAGTTTTCGGTAATCATGCGTCGTTGCCTCATGGACTAATTACAATATACGAGTATGTTGTATTCTTCTAAAGGCTCTCCTAGACGATGTAAAGTGCACGCTATCGTCCGCATATAGAGCCAGCTCTACGTTGCCTCCCCATTCGCGTAGGTGTCCTGCGAGAGTAGGTATGTCATTAGTATAAGTCGCGTACAGGATCAGCGAAAGACAGCTGCCCTGTGGTACGCCAGCTCTAATTGGTTTGGCTGCGGACTCGGTATCCTCGACACAGACGTAGAAACTCCGCTCAGCTAGGAATGACGCCACTAGCCGCAGCATAGCAGGAGGGACACTCGTTTATTCTTCTAGCTTGTAGAGTAGTCCAGAGTCCCACTCCCTGTCGAACGCCTTCTCGATATCCAAGAAGACGCCCAACGATGTGCAATCCCGGTTATCTTCGGCCGCAAAGTGGTGCAGCACTCTGGTCAGCTGTGTAGCTGTAGAGTGGCCCCTTCTAAACCCGTGTTGCTCCGCCCGAAGTTGTATGCACGGGCGGATTCTTCTTAATATAATTCTCTCGAATAATTTGGCTATGTGCGGTAGCAGCGTAATCGGCCTGTAACTAGCTGCTCTACACCTGGCCTTCAGGTCCTCCGGAAAGTAGGAAGTCTGCAGAATACATATATGTAGATAATATATTAGATAATATATATATGTAGAGATGTCCTAGCTCCACAATCGCTCTATTGGGCAGCTGTCGAAGTGCAGCGTTCGTAATCCGGTCGTGTCTTTCTCAATTGCAGGCGGGTTACTGTCCTCCACAGTTCAGCGGGAGATGAACCACACTCCTGAGGGCGGTGGAGCGGGCGACGACAGGAACTCCCGTATGCGGCTGTCCTTTTGGGCAAGAAGCTCCATGTACTCCGCACTTGCCAAGTTCGGCATAAATTGCTCTTCGAAGTGCTCTGCTAGGATATCAGCTCTTCCTTTGGCCTCGTAACGTCGCCCGCCCGTGTTGTTGGTCAAAAGGCAGACGGGGGATCTAGCTTTAGTTAGCTGTCGGTTAAATTTGTAGAGCGACGCCTCCTGGTCTTCAGCTTTCCAAATGCGCCGCTCCCAGGCCTTTCTTCTGTGGGGCTGGATTGCAACCGACAGCTCATCCGTCAGTCTGTTCAGTTGACATTTGAGTTTAGGGCAGCGAGTGAGCTTCCATTTTCGGTTGAGCTGCCACGACAGTTGCGTGCGCACGCAACTGTCGTGGCAGCTCGTCTCTACGTGTCTTTAGAGGGACGATTGTAGAGGCCGTGAGAGCTTTTTGGATGGATTTATTTATTCTGGTAGTGGCGGCCTCTACGTAGTCCGCTGAGTTAATCTCTCTATATACTGGACGTCTCTCTTGCAGGTGTTGTTGGTAAAGTCTCCAGTTAAACTTGTTCTTAAAAGCCCTGGGCACCGAAGTCACATCCTTGAGGCCAAAGGTAATCAGTATCAGGAGGAGCTGTGAACTCAGGTTGTACAGCACCTCTACCACTATCGGGCAGTTGACATTCCTAACGAGCATGATGTCCAATACAACCGGACGTTTCCGGTGATCTGCTGGAACGTCTTCGGGACCTAAAACGTCATATTTGTTGACTTTTGAGCACTTGAGCATAGCTGGTGGAAAACCTCTGACCATCGTCCTGTGGTAGGCCTGACGGGTTGGAAGTGGGCAAACACGATGATCCGGCAGTTGCTATCGTAGCGTAGGTGGTGAAATCCCATCAGTAGAACTCCTCCCCCCTTGCTTTAACTCCGCCGTGTCCATGTAACTCCGACAGTCGGGTGAGATGGAGGGGGTTGGCTTCGGTAGGCACTGTGATTTGGGTAGCGATGTATGGACTTTGTATCCTCCCGCCGATGGGATTCCTTCGTCTTCGGATTCGGACAGCGACGACGACCATGATGATGAGGTTGAGATCGGAGATCTCACGCATTGCCTCTTCTCGAAGAGCGACGCGTCGGTCTCGGGCGGCGTGTGCCTCCTGGCCGATTTCTTCGCCCACTGTGGCATGGACGACGGTTCCCGCTCACTCGTATGCTCAGGCACGATGGGAGTGAACTCCGGCTTTGAACCGTCCCTAACCAATAACGGCCGGTCCAATACGCCCTGTCGGTCTAGGGGTTACCTAACGGGAGGGGTGGGGGGGCTCCCCCTTCACCTTATCTGACATAGTTGGTTACAGACTGTTTTGTATAGGGTGAGTGGGGAGAAGATCGAACGGTTTTTTGATGAGATGAGCAGTGTTGTGTTTGACGTCTTGTAGAACAGTACATATTAACTTAAGCTAAAATTATATCTATAGTGAATAAAGTACAAAGAGCATATTTTTATGTCATATCGATAAATCCCTGTTATATTTATTCGAAAGCAAAAAAAAAATAATTACAATGTTTTTATCGAAAGAAAAAAACAGGGGCAAAGATGAAAGGGTAGTGGGGTAAGATCGAAGTAGTTTCTAAAATCGTTCAAATTAATGTCAGACGATATTGACGGTCAGTAGGCTACAATTTTTATTGTCCTGACACTTCAGAACTGTCTATAATATCAAAATACCTTCAAATAACACAGATAACACAAATTATTTGTTTTTTATATTTCAATCTTGCCCCGCCGGGGAAAAATTGAACTAGAGTTTCTCAAACTTTTCACTTTACTTGGATAAGATTATACAGAAAATGAAACATATCAATCATATAATTTTTTTTATTTGATGTTACTTTTACCATTTTGGTCAACAAAATATGTAGCACAAAACATAAAAAATCAAATATTTCAAAATTAAACAGCTAACCAATTAATAAGATCTTAGAAAAATGCCACAACTAAAAACATAGAAAAACTTCTAAAAAAATATTATCTAGACATTAATAAAAAAATTGTAGTAGATCCACGTCTACAGTTCACTGTAACACATAAATGAGCAGGGTCGACCGGTGCGATACTACCCTCTCACAGAAAATCAGCGTGAAGTGTTTACCTTCTTAGTGGCTGCCATGTTTCGTCTGGTGAGTGAGAGTTCCGGATGCCCGTTCCTTTTCCCCTTTTCTTAAGGCCACCCGAATGTTGAAGTTTGCTAGATAAACCGATGTGACGTTGCATTGTTCTAGGAGCTGTGATGTTGCATTTACTAACGAGTGTCTGGTGGTCTTTCCCCTTTCTTTAAGTTCCTACTCCCATTCCTACGAATCCTGTTCCTATACCTCATGAGAAGGCAACGCACAAGTAACACTCCTGTTGTTTCTTGTGTCTATGGGCAGTGGTGAAATCACTTGGCCATCAGGTGATCCGCTTGCTCTTTTTGCATCTCTTATAATATACAAAAATTAAAATAAATACCTTTAGATAATATTAGCTGAAATTGTGCCGCTGACAATTTACATAATGGCTGAAACAAAACAAAACATTTTTTCAGGTACAGTTTGAGAACATGAAACCATTTGTATGACTTTTGAAAACGGGGCAAGATGGAAACTTTTATATGTTTATCTTATCCCGTCAAATATTGGCGGGTAAAGACGGAATGATACAATAAATCCTAAAATCCAAAAAGTAGGTAGCGATATTTAGACATAGCAACATAACTACCAATTAAAAATAATAAGTATGTATACAAATAAAAAACTCGTACCTACCTCGTAAATCAAGTTACACGACACGGGGTAAGATTAAAACACCCGACTTGCTCGCGTAAAATTCACAGCGTTGATATTCCCTTATAACACACAACTGATCCCTCAAAACGACAAGTGCCGACTTAGGTGTGGTACGTAACAAAATGGCGGTCTTATGAATGTTACCTGCATTGGATAAATTACACAAAATCTGTTTTACTGATGCCTTCTTGTCTTACCCCGTTTTTCATCTTCCCCCCACTCACCCTAACTGTTCAGTGGTAATGTAGTTTGTATCCCTACCTAACGAGCCGTCGAAGACGAACAACGTGAGAGGTGAGGGTCGGAGAGTGGCGATTGACTGCAACACTTGGGGCACTGCCTACCCCTTTCGTTATGAAAGGGTTGGAGGAAGTGCTTGGTTAGCACTCGCGCACGCGACTATAGACACGCAAGGGCACGAAAGTGCTTGAGTGCCTAAAAATCTGCCTAAGGGCCGGTCATGGGCATGCAACTTAGAACATTATTTTTTTACGAACAAAATGATACGTTTTATGTGCTTCCATCTACATTCCGAAGCGCTAGGCCAGACTTATTTTAATCTCACTAGAGGGCACTTATATATTAAGTCTATGCATACGCAATAATCCACGCGCACTACGCAGTTAGTAGCGGTCACAGGTTACGTTTAAATTGTTATTAATATTTATTGAACATTATTTATTTTTAGAAAATGCCATTTTATCTGTGTTTTTAGACAATGAAAAACTGCTAAAATATTATTAGAATACGAAGGTAAATTTCGCCACAATGCACAAGTTTATAATAGCTCAGGTGGATAATCGGTCGGTAAAGACCGCGGATCGCGTCCAGCATATGTGTTTATTTTTTCCCATTTTTTCAAGTTCATTCTTTTGTAAGCGCCATCTGTTATGCAAAGCACGACACTAAAGAAAATTAAATTTGAGTCGCGCATCTATCTCTAGTATATATACAGTAATCTATGGGCCGGTGACCTCGGCGCCTCACGGAGCGGACTCGACGTTTGGCGGAGTATGTCGTACCTGGGTTGAATGGGACCACTGCTAATCCACAATCAACACAAGCTTAGGAGATCCTTCTCTATTTCCTCACTCATAGTCCGATGGGACGGTAAACCAACACGACCGGAGTGAGATCAGGCGCAGGGCCATCGGCTTAACTTGCTTTTCCGGGGTTATGACACCGCCACCTTCCTGACTCCGAGCAACTACTGAGAATTTCTTAACTTAATTTCTTTTTTTAATTTCTAATTTCGGATCTAAAATAGCAAGAAAATCTATGCTAAGCGTAATGTGTAAGATATTTTTTTTAGACAATAAGGGTGACAAACGAGCACACAATCCACCTGATGGTAAGTGCTGTGGCCCATAGATATTTATATCCATCTTCGTTTGCGAATTAAAATGCGGATGCGTTGTCACCCGTGAGGACTAAGACTGAATGCCTTTTTTCCAGTAAAAAAGGTCTCCGGTACTCTACACTCACCATACGAAACACAGCAGCATTAAGCTGCTATTTTACACTGGTATTCTGTGAGAGCGTGGTCTTTCCCCGTATTTCCTTCATGGGGCAATTTATACGCTTTTAGAACAAAATCCCAAAAAATTTGCAGGACCTATCAATCAAAATGTTTAAAAATTTTAGTAAGCAAAAATCGTTTAATAAGGGTAACCCATAGGAATGAGGTGTTCGCTAGGATGGTGTTTCTAAATGTTTTCATACGTATTAGTATAAAATGTTATATTGTAAATTAATGTTTAAAAAAAGTCCTGCTGGGTTTTTAGCTGGTTTTTCCCAGGATAGAGGATTTCTTAATGAATCAGTCGTAAAACTTAAATGACTAAGTATACAATAAGTATTTTTGCAATCTATATTATATAAAATTGATTCTTTTTTATTCTTATATCTCTATATGTGTCAAATGACGACGAGTTGGTCACATTTTATTTTATTATTGTTGAATAATTTGTGTATATTTTTTATGAAAATATTTTAGGTGAATGGCGTCGAGCCATGAAATACGGCGTGGGCCAGATGACGTACCCTGATGGTTCCCGTTACGAAGGCGATTGGAAGCACGACTTGAAACAAGGATTTGGCGCTTACTACTACCCCAACGGTGACATTTATGAAGGTGCTTGGTTTAAAGGCAAACGACATGGTCTAGGAACATATTACTTCGCCGAATATCAAGTTAAATTCATGGGAACGTGGGTTGAAGGTGTAATTGAAGGTCCAGGGCAAATTATTTATCCACGAGTTCGTTTTCACGGCTCGTGGTTAAGAGGTTTGCCTAAAGGGCCTGGGTGCTTTGTTTTTGACACCAATTGCATGCAACATGGCTTCTACGCGTTGATTAAAGATCCGGACCTCGAGGAATATGGTGAAGGAGAAGAAGAGAAAGACGATAAGGTACAAAAGAATGATACATTAGAAGAGGGGGAAGAGGAAACTGAGCTAGATGAAACATTAGGTAACAATTTCCTTTTTACCCTATGAGATAATTTGTTTTCAACAGCGTTAAGGTATAAACTATTATAGTAACACTTCCTTAAGATGCCGGTCCTTAAGAAACGCACAAATAGGCAGTTACGGTTTTAAAAATATTAAAGAACTGACTTCATTGAAAGACATCATGAAAAAATCTCAATTAGTTAAGAGATGAGTCTTCACTTTCACCGCGTGATATTTATAAAAAAAATCGTCAACAATGGTAAATACACTTAAAACGGCCTTTTCTATTTTAAATCTCTATGCTATTTCGTTATTGTTTTAGAAAATATTTTTGGTTAAACGTGAGATAAAAGTTTTTTTATCACCATTCATTATATTTACTAATTGAAACCAAAAAGCAATAATCTAAGCCTAAATATCGTTAATTTTTTAGCAGAAATCGTTCCCCGTTTTCCATATATTTTAGTATGAAGCGTAAAATCTTTCCGTAATTCGCTTTATTTTATGCCTCCTCTACACTCTACTCGCGAAGTGGATCGAAGTTGGACGAGGCGAATAGTGTAGAGAAGTACTTCGATTCGCTTCGTGCAACCTCGCTTCGCCTCGGGCGACTTCCAATTGCTGCCAGTTTTTTTGTGCCAGAGTCAAAGGACTTCGCGAAGTACCCCGAAGTTACACGAAGCGTCTCACTACACTACTCGGCGTACGCCAGTTATATATTAATATTTATTTTTATATATAAATATGTATCTTTCGACATAATTATTTATCTATGGTTAACGCATTCACTTCGTACTGTTCACACAATTAAGTACTCTTGCACGTTATTCATGTTAAGGGTGCGGGAGAATCACGGAGACTGAGCTCTTCGCGAAGTAGCACGAGTGTGTAGTCACGTTCTTCGGACTGCGATCGACTTCGACGAGCACTTCGTCAAAGTTACTTCGCGAGTAGTGTATAGGAGAAGAGGCCTTATGGATGCCATACACGATCAAGTTTACCGTCAAGTTTGCAGCGCGCTTGAAGCGGCGTCAAGTTGGCAGTGCATCCATATAGGCCACACACGTTCAAGTTCGTCGTCAAGTTTGCATGATGCCGCATCAGTTGAAACTTCCCTATATATAATGTACTCTGTGGTTGAAACCATGGGGTCACTAGTGACGGACGACGATGCGTTAGCCATCCTAGGCTTATTGCTCGCAATTACTTTTCAAAAACTGGTTAATGAAACGAAAATTATTATCTCAATAGTAAAGAGCAAAAATGTGAAAAAGACAAGTGACGGCTCCGTGGCTTAGTAATGAGTTGCAGTGCTAAGAGCCGCGGGTTCGAATCTCGGATGTAACAAGTATTTGTATGACCTACAAATAATTGTTCTGGGTCTGTTCTCTGTATGAAACTGTCCCTGCGATACAGAAGAAAATCCTAGTGTGGTAGTAACGTTTTTTTTAAAATAGAGGAAAAGAGACAACTAATTAAATTAAAAATTTTGTACAACTGACTTCAATACGAATACGCATTATTACGGATAATTCCAAAAGTACTAGTCAGATCTTGATCAAATTTATATGTGATGTTTAAATTATAAGCACCAGCTTTCAAATAAAATAGAATCATCAGAATCGATTCACCTAAAAAAAGTTCTGAGGTTACACACATTAAAAAAACAGTCGAATTGAGTACCTCCTCCTTTTTTAAAGTAGGTTAAAATGGTAAGTAGGTAAATTTTCTGAGTTTCAAAGACGTTCAGGTTGTTATAATATTAATTTTCCTCGATGTTGCATATTAACCTTCCTCACATTGAACAATAAAGTTTTGGCTTAGCAATGAGTTGCAATGCTGGGGACGCGAGTTCGAATCCCGCACGGAACAAATATTTGTATATGTGTAGATGTTTGTCCTCGTGCAATTTATGTTTGTTAACTGCCTCCACGATACAAGAGAAAATCCTAGTGTGTAGGTAACGTTTTTTAACATAATAAAAAAAATATTTATACATTGCATAACACTTCGGTGTATTCTACTATATACCGCGTGCGCGCGTCTTCGCTTACCGAAGCCGACTAACGTCATGCATATTTGACCGCTCATACACACGTTCAAGTTTACATGACGCGGCAAGCTTGATCAAGTCGGCAGAATCGAAATTAAATTTTTGCTTCAAGTAGACTTGTCATGTACACCCATAGCCATACACCGTCAAGTTTACCGGACGCCGCTTCAAGCGCGCTGCAAACTTGACGGTAGACTTGATCGTGTAAGAGAACACGCGTGAAAAAAATTCAGTGCCGTCTCAATTTTCGAGGTGACTGCATGTCCGTTCGTAGCCCGATTTGACGAGTCGATTCGATACATCTATTGTTTGACACGGCACAAGGGTGGGTCGCGAGTGTCAGACACGACTGTTCCCCGCTGACTGAGTTGAGACTTTGTCTCGATTTCAGACACAAGTTTGTTCCGGTACTCGGCGACGTTTTCCCGAGAAATATTGGCACGGCCGGTGCATCAAGCATCACCTGTGCTGTCATCTGCATAGCAATAAATGTCACCAGTTTGCAACATATCAGATGAAACAGCGTTAGTAATAGCACGAAGCACAAAAGTTCTTTGAATAAATGCTGTATCGGCCGTGTCAGAGACCCCACAGTGACCGTAACCGTAGGGTATGGTCGGCACATGCCGTTTAGTTCAGATGCAAATAACATTTTTAGAAATATTAAATTTAGTAAGTTACTTGTTTAGAAACGCTAAAATCTCATTTATAGTATACGTCTCTGTAACGACTAACGGGCTGTTTGTTATATACTGTATAAATAGTTTAAACCACTGTGATTCTGTATTAACCTTTATTTTTAATAAAAGATCATCAATGAAACCCACATTTCCTATATTACACAAAACATTAATAATATTTTTAAATTATTCATAAATAAAAATTAAGTTAGGATATTTCGAACATTTTAGGCATTTATTTCGACACACCACAAGCGTTTCGTACGTCAAATGTTAGCCAGTGCGCAAATGTGACAGACATGCTTTACTTGTAGGAACATTTGCCTAACTCATTGCGCTAAGCAGGCTTGTTGGTCAGCACAGGGTCGATATCCTCACACTGGTGTGCTGCTTTCCAACATCAGTCCGTAAAATTTCAGACAAGCAATTTTTTTTAAACCTCACCCCCCACTAGGATATTCTACTGTATTGTGGAAGCGTTTTACATACATTAATTGCACATGAACAAACATCCAGACTAGAAACAATTATTTGTAAGTCTACAAATAATTGTTTCTAGTCATACAATCACTTGCATGTACTTGTAATAAGTGATTGTACCTATAGTCATACAATCACTTGTTACATGCGTGATGTTAGTCCACAGCGCTCAGCGCCTCAACTCACTCTTTACATTAATATTCCATTAGCAGTCACCGCTCACCACAGCCTCACCCGCATTTCGTCCGTCAAATAGTAGGCTAAAACGAGGGTAGGTTAAATTGGGTTAGGAGAAAAATTGGCACATTCTTCTTTACACCAACACACAAAGGTACTTTCATATAAATTAATATTTTTAATCTCTTCTTTATTTCTAGGTAAAATAGCCGTGTGGCGGGCCCGCAATGTAACGGCTTACATGGCAGAGTTCCTTCCACCTGAGCCCGTTCCATTGCCCATTCATGACTCAATACCCTCGCTCACACAAGAAAGCGTTGATACCGACCTACTCCAATTTGAGCCGCCATCTGCCGCTTCTGAATACGAGGGTGGAGATGACAATGATTCGTGGTTACTTCATCGACAGAAGTTCCTTGAAGAAACTGAGCTTAAAGAGTGATCTTATAGTGTTGTGAAGAAATAAATAACTTTCATCACATACTTTACTGAAACTCCTGTCATGTTTTGTACTATAAACAAAAATATATAAATATAAACACATTACACAGTTTTAACAGTGGTAGAGCCATGCGGCAGCTTTTGCTGTCGCACGGATGGGCCGGCTGGAACCAGGGTAGTACCACGACTTCAAAGAAAACCAGCGTGAAGTAGAGATTTACCTCTGCATTTCGCTTGGTGAGTGCAGGTGGCCGGAGGCCCTTTTTACTGGAAATGAGGCATTCCATCTTAGTCCTCACGGGTGACAACGCATCTACATTTTGGTTTGTAATAGAGGATAGATGTAGATGTCTATGGGCCGCGGCAACCACTTACCATCAGGTGGACTGTGTGCTCGTTTGTCACTTATCCTATAAAAAAAAACCTATAAAAAAATAAATTACAAATAAGGTCTTAATTCTTCTGTACTTAGTTTATTACATGTCTTTAAAACTATTAAGAAAATATAAAATAATTGCCTGAACCGGCATAGCTTCGCTCCCGTGAAATTCGGGTAATAGTAGTCGTATCTCTATGAAAGGCCTAAGCTTTTTAGGAGGTTTTATCTAAGCTTATGTTCATTTATTTATTTATTTAAAAAAGGTTTAAAATATTGAACTTTTGAAAAAGTAATAGCAGGCTAAATAAAAGTAGTAAAAGTAAAAGTAATAACTAGAAAGAATAAAATAATTTCTACAATGGTCAATAGCAACAGAAATCAGTGATCAGATGCAGTGTATAGAAGAATTAAAACCCCGACTTCAGAAATGAAGGTTTGAGGTATGGAAAATATTTCATTCTCTTCAAACTGCTTTTAAGGGTCAGTTCACATCGAGACGTGACGCGACGCGACGCGGCGAGCACTTCTTAAGATGATAAGTGATACAAAATAAAACTTTATCTACTACACAATAATTAAAAATGTTGTACAACAAACTTCAATATAAATTATTAAGAATAACTCAAAAACTGTTGGTCAGACCTTCATCAAATTTGTATGGGACCACATGTGAAGCACCAGTTTTCAAATAAAAAAAGAATCATCGAAATCGGTTTACCCAGTAAAATGTGATGAGTTATGATGTAACACACATAAATAAATAAACCCAGTTGAATTGAGTACCATCTTCTTTTTGAAGTCGGTAGAAAAGATACACATTTTATTGAGATAATTCGAAACTGCCCTGCGGGTGGCTGGAGATGGCTCGCGGTGTCGCGATGTGTCGCACTAGTAGAATAGTAGTATAGAGACAAGTCGCCACGACGGCTTCAGCACAGGCACAGCCTGAAGTCGCCACGACGGCTTCAGCACAGGCACAGCCTGAAGCCGTCGTGGCGACTTGTCTCTACTATTACCACATGACCAATCTCTCAATCAATCTACACTAAACAATATTTTCTAAAATACTTTTGACTATATTCTTAGTACTTCTTTAGTCTTTTGACCGGAAAAGAGTTTTGACTGCCATAACATATACACAATTTTATAATTTCAGGATTTACATATGTATTCCATTCACATCTTAGGATATGGTTAAATGAATATTTTAAAATAATGAGGATTTTCCTAATGATTTTCATTGTAATAAATACATAATGATTGATTACTTAACAGGGTTGCCATTTGGTTAGCCTTAAAATGATTTTCGAGAGTTTTTGCAAATGTAGTAAATTAACAACTAATCCAATTATGTTTGGAAAGTTCTGGGCCTTAGCTCTTTAATTGGTTCTAAGAAAAGCATGCAGTTTCATAATATGTCAAATAAGAGAAATATCATTTAGCAATAAATTTTTTGGGCTGTTTAACAAAGGGTTGAAACTTATCTTCTCCCTCTCTTTTATTGCATATTTGCGAACCGCCCTGTCTTTACCTGAGTAGGATCTATTAATAGGACATTATTTAGGTAACATATTTTTAGTTTTTTTAAATCCAAATATTACACTAATATTCGGTTCAGCTACAGCGTGGCTCTAACAGCTGCTGCTGCTTTTTTGAATTCTTGTCTAGGAGATTAACTAAAAAGTCTAATATTATAGTCTTGCAACGTGCCGTCGCAACCCTGTCCCTCTTGCCGGTTTGCTCGCGGACATAAGTCCTTATGTCCAGGACGGGGGTTTGTTCGCGCCAAACTCTAATTTCAAGAATTGACGCCAGAGGGCGCTCGGCGCGGTGCATTCGTACCGGTTTGACGTTCGCGCGAGAGAGTTAGTTCCTACCGGCGGCGGGGTCGAGTCGGAGTTGCTATAATACTGTGCTATTGATGGTTATGGCAAAAATGGTTAAAAAATGTGTTTATTCAGTTTATCCACCCAAAAAGCTTGACAAACAAGAAAAGAAAACAAAGGAGCAACAAGGTACTTGGCAACGCATGTTCATTTATCCCAATGAATATAATGTAATAACCAAAACAAAACATTACTTTCTTTCAGATTTTGTGATTCTATCTTAATCTAAACACAGTATATCTTTGATATTAGAGAATATCAATTAAATTGAAATGAATAGCAAGTTTTTAAGTATTTATTTCAAATAATAAAGTAAATTAAAATTGTCACACCTTTCTTTAACTAAATGTGTATCATAGGGCGATTTTCATATTTATGTTGAAAGAACAATATTAATTATAATGTTTAAAAATAAAGTTATTGAGTCTTTATTGGATGAAACCATGAAACAATAACATGAATATCTAACTCAAATATTTACTATTTACTGATATTGTACTAAAAGTATTTCTAATATATAATAAGAAAATAAATAAAAATTGCATTTTGACTTCCTATATATTCTTTCATACATGGCATTTAATAATCATGTTACTGTCATGGGCATATTACGCTAACTTAGTCTAGAACATAACTATGTTTGTGGATTTGGTGTTGGATTATTATTAGATCCGGAATTATTATTATCAAATGTGTTTTTGTTTTTGAGTAAATAGGCTGCTAAATAATTTATGGGATCTGGTGGTCTCTCTTTGGCCAACGCTGACAGTCCTTGCAATAATATAGGGACGACGGTTTGGTCCAGGTACTGGCGAGTGGGTAATGCATTCAGATCAATTCTGGATTTTCGATTAGCGTTAGTTTCGTTCTCCTTTTCCATTGCTATAATTTTCTGGAAGTTACGGACATAAAAACACATGAAACATAGTGTTAAAACATATTAGCAATTATATGTTTTATTTTTATATTTTATTAAATAAAAGTATTAACTAATTTTGCTTATCTACTAACCTTTACAGATTCTGGTATTTTGGATGACGACTGTTCGTCTTTAGGGGTTTGATTCGCTTGTAAAGAGGTTTCTGACATCGGTTGCAGTATTTTATTAGCATGCAACTATTTTATTTACAAAAATAATTTTCAAGATTTAAATTTTAATGTCCAACTTGACAGTTGACAACAACTTGATTGTTGTTGTTTTTATTATGCGCTCGAGAGAGCAGGCAAAGGAACTATGTTATACAGCCTTGTCTTTATGTATAATTATACTTCATAGTTCACTGCTTCACAATATGTTGATGCGTCACATTGTGCAGCCCTTGGGAGATTTTGACGGCAACTTGAGCCAGCAGGCAGCTGACAGTTGGCGATGGTATCTAAATCTAACAACAACTTGATTGTTCTTTTTATTATTCGCTCGAGAGAGCAGGCAAAGGAACTATGCCATACAGCCTGGTCTTTATGTATAATTATCCTTCATAGTTCACTGCTTCACAATATATTGATGCGTCACATTGTGCAGTCCTTGGGAGATTTTGACGGCAACTTGAGCCAGCAGGCAGCTGACAGTTGGCGATGGTATCTAAAGGCGCCTATGCAAACAAACAGCTTATCTTGAGAATCCATCACCATCAGAGCACTTGTTTCACCGTTCCCACTAATAGTTCACATGTGTAGAAAGTTAATACATAAAATCGCACCACTTTTACATATCAAAATCCACTTCAAACTATTATTTAAACTATAATACAGGATCAGCAAACCGCCGCCGATCAAGTTCACGCCAAAACTCCACAACAACATGACAGATGACAAGAAGCTCCAACATTTTTTATTATAACTGGCTTTTCAGCTCTGGGTTCTAGCTCTTCTGAGCCTGAAGTTAAAATGTATAATTATCCTTCATAGTACACTACTTCACAATATTATGTTGATGCATCACACGTGTAACCTTTAGGGGATTTTAACGGCAACTTAATCACATCACCATCAGAGCACTTGTTTCACCGTTTCCACTAATAGCTCACATGCGCAGACACTAAATACACAAAATCGCAGCACTTTTATATGTCAAAATCCACTTCAAACCATTATTTAAACAATAATACAGGAGCAGCAAACCGCCCCCGGTCAAGTTCCCGCCAAAACTCCATTCGCTCCACAGATTACTCATCACCACAGACTACTAAGAGGATACTGCTCAACACTCATTTGTTGTTGTTATTATTGGAACGAAGTTCCTTATCGGACGGTACGGGTTTGGAGAATGGGAGCTAGGCGACAAAAAGTGTAAGATTTTTTCGTCACTACCCCTTGTGTCATAATGTAGACGGCCTTGGCGGCGAAATAAGGAAGTGAGATGGAATAATATCCATCTCCCTCGTACTTTTTCTTACCTTGCCATTAAAAAAATATTATTTTATTTCAAATGACGTTTCATTTTAATCGACGCTAGTAATTCATTTATTTGTATTTGTTGATCAATAATATAATACCTACGTTTATCAATAATATTGTACTAAGCAAGGAACTTCGATCCAACCGAGTGTTCCACGACACTCGCGCATTTTTTATTATAGAGTTAATTGGAGTTTATGAGTTTATAATGAAAAGTCCGTGAAAATACAGCCTTGCATGATTTTATATTTTGTTAACAAACGAGAAGTTTGCGGATGGAAGGTTTTGTATATTAAACGTCTGTTCATGTGAGCTATTAGTGGAAACATAGAGCAACACGGGCCACCGGCGGACCGGAAAAGCGTACCCATACGCAGGCGTTCTTCTCTGTCAAAGCGGACGCGATCATATGCGTACAATAAAGCTAATTGCAGCGTACTCCTCACTAGACTTAATTACACGGCTAAATTGACCTCCTACAGAAATGCCGAAATGTTCAATTGAAAATGCAAAAATAGATCTGACACGTCAAATTTATAAAAACATGGCTTTACCTTTCATATATAAATTTTTTTAATCATATTTTTGCAATTTTTTTCTTTCTAAACTTAAAAATTACAATACTAAAGGCCGTTCGCCCTCATCGCTAGAGAATAATTGTGTTTAGTGGTCCTCATGCAGATCGGTCGAGCGACTGATCCAAGTGTGTATTCGAGTAGTCGCTGTCACTGTAATGTATGTGTGAAATTCTTTTGTGTGAAATTGTCAGTTTATTGTTTTAATTAATATGTGTGAGTTTCATAGTGACAGACGATTGTTTTTTGTTCCTAGATTCCCCCCTGAAAAAAATTACAGATAGTTCTGTATAGTAAAAACCGCTATGACCGCTCCCTCCGGTCTGCCGGTGACCCATATTACGCAGGTGAAGTTGGAGGCCGCGAAGGAGGGTGCTCCATTTGTTCTGGTGCGACTTACCTGAGAAGAAGATAAGGGAGGAGTAGTCCTTTCCTGAGGGGGGCCGCCACGGGGCGACCAGCTCTGGTGGGGCCGCGGATGTGTGCAAAAGCGTTCCCGTGGCTCTGCCAATGCGGCAAAGATAGAACACCATGGGGTGTTTGTGGTTTTAGGTTTTAGTCGGTGCGAGTATAACACAACCCGTCCTTGCCCCTGCGACGCGGGTCTGGTAGGCATTTCCCCATATAAAAAAGAACGTCGGCCAACCACAAGACGGAGAGACTATCTAGTAAGACATGCAAGAAGTCGCTTGATGCAGGGGGCTCAGGACCGTGCTTTGTTGCATTCTTTGGAAGAGGCCCATGTTCAACAGTGGACTTGTGAAGGGCTGTAATGATGATGATGATGATATACATTAACGATGATGATATACATTAACATACGTTATCGTGTTTTGTGGCATTTATCATTTTTATGGACTTGTGAAGTATGATGATATGCAAATATTTATTTACAACTTATTCTAAAACTTCTTGATGGGTCTACGCGACTTTGCCCATTAATTTCCTCAACCCAGTAGTGTCATAATCTTTAATTAACTAATAATTAATTTCTTAAGTCGTATATTTATTATTATCAACGGCCAGCCGGTACACGCGGCGAGCTGAGCTTCGCGCGCAACGACTGGCAGGGTCGCCATGTAATAAAGTTATTAAATGAGACAATCTTTATGCTCCAAGTCCTGTTTATTACATTAGTGCATACCATGAGCCACGCTACAAGATTCAGCTGCGGAGGGTGGAGAGAGCAGCGCCTCGCAATACCGTTGCTCCTCTCCCCCCGTAGCCCCACCACCATCGTATGAATTGTGTGGCCCCGCCAGAGTCGCGGAGTATAGGGCGAGTGGCGCATTGTTATACCAACACTGCTCTTCCTCCGCGACTCGCGCACCTCGGCTACAACGGTAGGTGAAGAAGATACCCCTATCGCCGCAGCACACACATCCACGCCACCACGGACCAGCCTATGTGTTTCTCTTGTGGTTAGTGAGGTAACCGGCTGGGCGGGGGGGGGGGGGGGGGGGGGGGGCTATTTGAGGACCTTTGTTTCCCATCGGTTGTCGTTTCTTTGGCACATTGTCACTCCGGCTTACCGATCCACTGAACGTAGGTTGCCTCATAGTGGGGAATATTTGCCACAATTGCCATGCTTGGCCAGCGGTCACCACCTACAGTTATTTTTTTATTTTGAGCTGTTTTCTCGGAGATACTGCTGCCCATATCCTGTTACAGTTTCCCCGCTGTCACCTCTTGCCACTAGACGATATGAGATCGTGGAATCTCTAGCGTCGTCACTACAGAGCAAGATATAGATTAAGTAATAATAAGATAATATATGTAGTACTGCCCTTTGCATAAAGATGCTGGTAGAATTTCCTCGGCTTCGATATCGCACTCGTTCTTTACATTAAAATTCAAAAGGTAAAAAAGATACCTACATTTGATGATTACATGACAAACGAATTTACAGTCCACTTAATAGTAGGTGACTACTGCACTCCATGGACATCTACATTCAATTTCAAACGAAAAAGATTTCGGACAGATGTGTTGTCATACCTAAGGACTATAACATAATTTAAAATTAAAAATTTTGTACAGCCGACTTCAATATAATTTATTAAGAATCACGTCTGACCTTGATCAAATTCATATGGAACCACACGAGAAGTACCAGCTTTCAAATAAAAAAAGAATCATCGAAATAGGTTCACTCAGTAAAAAGTTATGAGGTAACACACATAAATAAATAAACTGGGTAAATAAATGAATTGGGTACCGTCTCCTTTTTGAAAGTCGGCAGAAAATGGAATGCCTCACAACCTGTAATTATACTGGCTCTTCTAAGGGTATAGCATCAGACCGGAACACAGCAGTAAAAGTACTGCTATTTGTGAGCAGAAGTAGGTAAGAGGGTGGTTTTCATCCTTACGAACTTCTAAGCAGACTATGAGATCTCCCACTTAATATCATCATCGTCATCATTACAGCCCTTCACAAGGCCACTGCTGAACATAGGCCTCCCCCAAGGAATGCCACAAAGCACGGTCCTGAACCATCTGCATCCATTGACTTCCTGCATGTCTTCCCAGATCGTCACTCCATCTAATGGGGGACGCCCTAGGCTCCGCCTGCCGGTACGAGGCTGCCATTCGAGAACCTTTTTTCGAGCTATATGGCCAGCCCATTGCCACTTCAGCTTACTAATCCGTTAGGCTATGTCTTCTACTTCGGATATCCTCATTTCTAAGTTTATCACGCAGAGAAACCCCAAGCATAGCTCTCTTCATAGCTCACTGAGCGACCTTGAGCTTCCTCATACAGCCAGCATATAAAGAATACAATAGAAAGTTTATTTAAGAATATCAAGAAGTGCACTTAAATTTAAAGTGATTTAATGAGTGTAGGAATAATTTCTGATGCAATTTATTATAAAGGTTAAGGCCGAGGAATACAAAAAATCTATAACTGAAATGAGTATTAAGAGGAATCGATTTGGCGACAAGATGATTGCCTCCTGCAACGTTCTTATTATATTTAGTTAAGAAGTGCTGTTTAAGAGATGTATACAATATAAAAAGTTGCAGTACAGTCAACACTTGGCAATGCTCTCAAAGTAGTTCTGAAGAATATAAGCGAGGTTTAAAATAACACACATTTAGTAAAGCTGGGCACAAT